CTTACAGCACCTTTGTAGATCGGCATTTTCTCCATGTCAACATGGTTTTATTAAGCGAAGATCAACAACAACTAATCTTTTGGAGCTCTCTTCCTATATTATAAAGGGCTTCCATAATAATTGTCAGACAGATGTAATCTATACTGATTTCAGTAAAGCATTTGACTCTGTTAACCATTCTCTCCTCGTTAGAAAACTCGATTCAATGGGTTTTCCAAGTGATCTTCTTAATTGGATCTCAAGTTATTTGAATGGCAGGACGCAAAAGGTCCTCTTTAAGAATAATTTATCCAATGTTCTAAGAGTTACATCTGGCGTCCCGCAAGGAAGCCATTTGGGACCCTTATTGTTTATATTATTTATAAATGACCTGCCCAAAGTCTTGACTAACTCCAGAGTACTTATGTACGCGGATGACGTCAAGCTTTGCGTGCAATACAATGACGTTGCCTGCCAGTCGGATTTACAAACAGATCTTAATAATTTTCAAACTTGGTGCCGTGTAAACTTATTAAACTTAAATGGCTCGAAATGCAAGCTAATGACATTCTCTCGTGTCGTTCCTAAGCTTGCTACTTACACGTTGAACTGCTGCTCTTTGGAAAGAATTAATACTGTTGACGATTTGGGCGTCCGCTTGGACCCAAAACTTGACTTTATTGATCATATTTCGTCTATGGTGAATAGAGCCAGGGCTGTGCTTGGATTTATTAAACGGTGGTCGAAGGAATTCAATGACCCCTATGTTACTATATCCTTATATACTTTCTTAATTCGTCCTATCCTAGAATATGGATGCTGTGTTTGGAGCCCTCAGTACGGCGTCCATAGTAAACGCATCCATTTGGTTCAAAATAACTTTTTACTTTTCGCTCTACACGGTTTAAATTGGGATGCAAACCAAAGATTACCTTCCTACTTTAGTATACTCCTATTAATAAACTTGCCGTCTTTAGCCAATCGTAGAACGATAACCTTTATTTTTAACCTTATACATGGTGATGTGGAAAAAGCTGACTTGTTGAGTCAGCTTAATTTTCATGTACCATGTAGAACTACTAGATCCTATATCCCATTAGTGTTGCGCCACTGTAGAACCTCCTTTGAACTTCATGAACCTTTTAGAGTGCTATGTGCAAATTATAATGATTTGTACACACTAATCTCTAACGTAGATACCCTTCCCAAATTAAAATCTTTAATACTAACACACTTAGTAAGCATGCAAGCTAACAATCTGGCATCACGCCGGTAGTCAATTTCCTCGTATTCTGTCCTATATTTTCCATCGCGCTTACTAACACCTAACCCAAACAGGCACGTGCCTGGTGTCATACGGGCCACTTGAATGTACTGACCTTAGTGCATCAACGTCCAAGAGGTTATGGGTAAAATACAAAATATTTACCCTACATATTTTAAATCATATAAAGTCAGATTTACACGAAATGAAGTACGAGACGTAAGTTCAGAACTACAGCAAAATTAAATTATCACTATAGAACATAAAAGAGCACAAAGTAATGCAAAAGAAAACAAAACACAAATTTAGAAGAACTATTTTTTTCCGCAGGCCCAAAAGAAAATTCAAGCCATAGTTCAGTTCTGTCAAACTTGTAAAGATTCAAAGTAGGACAGAAACCCCCAAAAGGAGAAATCCACCCAACCCCCGTCCCTAATTACCCAGGTGAAATTATTCACGAGGATAAATTCATTACAGGAAAACCAAGCGTACTAACAGGCATCGATAAATTCTCCAAATATGCACAAGTAAAAATTTTAGAGTCAAGAGCAGATAGAACTTCGATGACTAGGAGTCAATACAATATAAGTTATACATATTTACGTTAACAAACAGTGAAATAATACCTGATTTCATTTCATTCACCTATACATATTATATTTAAAATTGTACATTCACAGATTCCCATATTTGCATTTTTCCTCTATATCTAACGATCGTTTGTATGGCACTTATGTGATATAGTAGTCCGATTTTCACAACAGAACAATGTAGAACAATGTGAAATGGCTATAACTTAAATTTGATGAAAATCTGTTAAAAACTGAAAAAGTTAATTTTATTAATTGTTATCTTTCCAAGTGAACGGACGTGTTTTTTTCTTGCGCTCTCATTTTGTGTTAAAGTTTGAAAATAACCACCGGGTTTAACTTAAATTTTCTATTTTGTGTTAATAACTTCCCGTTTACTTTGCGTGTGCATGCAGCTATTCTGATTTGTGTTTATAATAGGTTTTATTTCCCAATTTCCAAGTCGGAATACCGGGCGACAATGGCACGGCAGATAACCAATCTGCCTTGCCAAGAGCCCTTATAGCGGCTCCACCGACGAGACATATATTTTTTTTCGCGGCTCTCCCCTGATCAAACATCTGAATATGTTCTCGCCTTTATACAAGGAAACACCAGAGCCGATAAAATTAAGATAAAGGTGGAAAAGTTCAAATTTTCTTACGCAAGGGACATTTCATCTTTCAAAATAATTGTCCCTAACGAGCTCTTTAACTATTTGCTCTCCCAACTTCTGGCCAGAGTACATTGTTGTTAAGGAGTTCGAAGCGAAGAAAAAGCAGTAGTTGATTTCCTCTTCGTCTTTTCTATTTTTCCTTTCGCGACTACTAACACTTAACCCAACAGGCATGTGCTTGGTTTCATACGGGCCACTTGTATGTACTGACCGTAGTGCATCAACGTCCAAGAAAAAACTGAGAGACTAGTTTGCGTAGAAACGGACAGAGGGATATGGCTAGATCGAATGGTCTGCTGATGTCGAACAAAATATATATACTTTATACAGTAGTCGTCCAATTCCTGCCGTTTTGATTTATATAATAGTGAGAATATTTAGAAGACTAACTGCAAAGTTTCATTCAGGTTTTTTTTGTAGCGCTTGCACGGTAAAAGATACTTTTGTTTGCGCCATCTATCGTTCAGTCTAAAGTCGCGAGGCTGCCAGGCCACTATTTCAAGATAGGCTAGGTATGGCATGGAAGAATACGTGAGAGAGAGTAATAGCGGCCAATTTTCAACGGTCCCCATTTCACTCACTGTCACATGGGGGTTACAGTCAGTTTTCCGACAACATTTTCTGTCTTTTCATTTTTCGCGGCTGAGGAGTAAAGTTCCATTTTTTTAACAGTCCTAAGTTTAAAGTATTCTCGAGTGACAAAGGAAATGATTTTGTTGAATTGGCTTGGCCACCGAGCCGCAATGTAAAGAAAGCGGAACGAGAGCGTAACTCTGGCAGATTGTGATTTTTTTGGGGATTTTATAGGCAGCAGCTTGTACCGCTCGACGGTCCCATGGAGGAGAGGGGCAAGCTGGCGCAGCGAGCTTCATCCAAAAGCAACGCTTCTGGAGCTAGTTTCCCGAAAGAGCATCACTCCCACCATCCCCCGCAGCAGCGCATGAGGAGGGAGTAATACTTACATTTTCGTTATATAACCTTTGCCCCTCTTGAGAGCAGCAGGCCGGAAAGCATTAAAGGTAACCGAGCTCCCATTGGCAAAACGACTGGCAATAGAGTTTTTATGCTAGAGTCGTCGGCGTAGGCATAGATTTCGACATAGATTTTCGGAAGATCTGCACAGTTTCGCCCCTAATTGTACGCCCGTGGGTTTTTACAGCCGCGAACCACACTAGCCAATGCCTCGCTAATAGATTAAACCCTATTTTTGGCTGTTGAATGTGTCCAAAAAGGGAAATTTTCACGTCATAACTCTAATACGACCAAGCGATCGCAGTAAAAATTTGGAAAAAAAAAGAAACAAATTAGTGTAAGACTTAATATAAAAAAAATAAGTTAGGTTAATTTCGAGCAACAACAACAATAGAAGAGAAAGATATATTGTGCGTTAATCTTAATCTTAAATTTGTTTAGCGCTCCTAACAAGCTAACAAAAGTCATCAGATAGCGCAAGCCGAACGCAGTCGCCTTTGTCATTTTTCCCCCGGCTTTTTGAATGTGATTCTTTTTTCACCAGTTTTCAGCTAGAACTTTTGAGGAAAGCGTTTTCATCGGTGGATGTGTGGAATTTGTGTGTCGCAAATGCACATTAATTAAATGAAGTTTAAATAATTTGATAAAAAAAAGGGGGAAGGATAATCATCCGAAGGCCGTATAAAGTGCCCTGCCCAAAACCAACTTACATTGCCGTGCTGCTAGGCGATATCTGATATCAATAAAAAAGGCGTTTGGTCTATGCTAAAGGGTATCTAAGCAAGCCAATTGAATTTTGGGATCACATACTCCTTTCGGAAGAAACCAAATTGAATATTTATGGCTCTGATGGCGGCCAGCTCGTACAGAGGAAGCCGAACACTGAGCTGGATAAAAGTGACTTGGCGCAAAAGTGAAACACGGTGGCTGAGGCGTGACGGTATGGGGATGCATGTCATCCGCTGGTGTCCGTACCTATGTGTATATAAGTTATCTTGTAATAATTATAATGCCGCAATCAACATTTTAGTTAGTACTGGCCTTCAGCAGTAGTATGTACCCTTTAGACACTGAGTTGCATTTAAACGTTATTAATAAAAGAATAGCAATAGGTTTACAGTAAATTATGGTAACGAAAAACACCCGCCTGTAATATATAACAGTGTTTCGCTATTTCTAAAAATATCAAAGCTTAATTTTTATTGTTTTTCTGAATTTCAAACTCGACAAAACTAAAAGCTGCTTTTGTAAGTTCTAACAATTTCACACAGAATATAATTACAGTATATATACTTATGTATGTATTTTGGACTAATTTTAATCTAACTTATTCACTTCTAAAAACTTTTCCATTAATAAAAATCAAAAACATAGAACCAAACACTAAAAACATCGATACTTATCATTTTGTATTCCATAAGCATTGGAAACGATAGTGGTAAACCTCTTTGCTTTTGCAGCATTTATGTCAATAAAATGTTGAGTACGAATTCTGTGTGTGTGTGTATATGCATACAATGTAATTTTTTTGTCGCCTTACCAATGGATGAATGAGATTGGGATTCACCCTGCTTTGCCACTACGTTGTTTCCTGTTGTATTTGTCTGTTGCAATAGTAGATGCGTTGAGGATTGCAGCTGGGATACTTGTGACTGTCCTTGAGATTGCATTTTTGTTTCGGAGGCTACAGAGCTCTACATACATTTAAATGCCACGATGAAAAAATTTCTAAAATCAATAAGTAAAGGAAAATTGTAAGACCTTTTTTTACCCCGAATAATAATAAAAATATTACACAGCTGTTTGATAACTCAATAACTGACTATCGAGATAGGTGGAAAGCGACGGAATACAGACACTATCGATACTAAGGCAAACATAGATTGGACTGTTATCTAGACAACTAATGACCGATTTCCACAACCGCATAATATGGTATTCATTTTTTCGAAGATGCGGATATTTTATGGCTTATCAAAAACAGTAGAGGGACTCCATCTGGAGAACAAAAATTCCGGCTGCCGCTATTCATAGTCATTTAGAAATTTTAGCGTTCAGAAAACTCCGAAACTATGCGCTTTTTAACTCAAACTTACGAAAATACAGATACAATATATAAAAATGAATTAATATAAATATCAGCGATATATTTATATCGAATTTAAAAAAAAGTCACCCGGTAATCTTTCAACCAAAACCCAGTCCCTGGACATGGATATACCTTTTATAATCCACTATATATTATTTTTAGTTTTATTTTACTAGATCTTTAATTACCAAACCAAAACGTTGTTTTATATGAACTCAGAAACCACAACTGTTTTTATTTATTTTATCAAAGCAAAAATGATTGTTTAATAGTTATTTTCACCTTTTTTTTAAATAAATTAAATTTAATTATTATAATACGAAAAAAATAAGCAAACGTCACAGCTGGAATTTCTCTTTAAAATTAGAATAAATTACTATTTACAAGAATTCCTATTCAATAACAGAAATACTATGGAATGCAGAAGATATTAAAAGATGGGTTCAGCTCATGATTTTTCATCATTGATGGATTTCTTACGATAATAATGGTAATATATTTATATATCAGTATCGTGGTGTGCGATAGAATACAAGTTTTAATAGAACTGGATTTCTTCGGCCATTTGCTCTCACTTGCAGTTCTTTCACATACTTTAAATTATGGATCTTGCCATGAACAATTATCAGATCTGCTCCGGTTTTCACTTAATTTTTTTCATTTTGATTTGTTAAAAAAGTTCGATTTCGTTTTTTTCTTAGCAAAGATGATCGGATTTGAAACATTCACTTTTCATTTCGGCCAGGCAAAGGTGGACGTATTTCAATTCCCATGAATTATGTGAAAGTAAAAGACGATATTCAATTTCAAAATCGATATCGGTTAATTTTTGCGAAAGTACATACCTATATATAAATTTGTATGACGGTGGGAACGAGAAATATAAATAAGAAAGTTGTAGGCCATAAAAAACCTAATGGGACAGCTCGCCTTGGTTATTGGTATATGGTATAGGTATAGACACTGGTCCTACAATGTTCTTTCTTTAAACGGTCACCAATTCATCCTTGCCCTTTAGATCCCATATCCAATCATCCGAGTTCCTTGTGCAGGTACTCAACAGTGTTATGTTAAAACGTCTGAGAGCTGCCCAAGAAGAGATGGCATGGCAATCGCTTTGGGACATATATTAATTAAAAAAAACTAAGCATCAAATATTAAATGAATGAATGTATTTAATCTCCGCTTGACTGTCTATCAACATGTTTACCGCCTCACGTGGGCGGTCTGATCTCTGCGCAAGCTCTGGAACGAGTTTATGGAGATGGGTATTCCTCTGTCAGTGTTTAGACCTGTATAGCATGCTCGGGTAAGTTTGTCTGCATTGTACTTTGAAGTTCGTCCTCGCCGTATTAAAAGTCTGGCTCTCCACGCCCCAATGAATAGGTTTATGTAGAAAGACGATGCCAAACATCGTTCTACTGTTAGCTAGGGAGGGGAAATTAATTAGGAGAAGTCTACTTAAGCAAGACGGCAATCTTTAGTCACCATCCCAGGTTAAGCCTCAGAGGGCAAACAGCATAAAGTTCTTTTGGACAGATTCAATGCGATTACGAGGAACTTCAAATTGAGGACTCGAAACACAAGAATCATACTCCAATAGAAGACGAACTAATGAAGTGAAAAGAGTCTTTGTTACAGAATCGAATTCCTTCGACCACTAGTCGATGTAGTCGGACACCTATGTTAGATCGTCAACAAGAGAGATTCTTTCCAAAAAGCAGTCGTTAAGCATAAAAGTGTCAAACAGGGGACTGACAGTTTGCATTTAGAGCCATTGAGATATAGAGAGTTATCAGATCCAATTGTAAGTCTGACTGGCAAGAACTATTCCTATACTGCACGCAAGGCTTAGGGTCATCAGCAAAAATAAGTTTTTTATATTTTGTTAGAACCTGCGGCAGGTTATTAATAAATAGTGTAAAATATAATGGACCAAAATGGCTACCTTGTGGAACGCCAGACGTGACTCTGAGGCTATTGGATAGCGAATTTTTAAGCAGAACCTTTTCAGTCCTGTCACTAGGATAACTCCACTTAAGAAGATCACCAGGAAGCCCTATAGAATCCAGTTTCGAAATGAGGTAAGGTCCAAAAGATTACTTTTGGTTGATCTTTGCCTCATAAAACCATGCTGACATGGCGAAATTACGGATCTGCATAAATGGAGGAATAACAAAAGATTTCTTCCAAATAAGGTGAAATTCTGTAATTCTAAAGATAAGGTAAACAACTTTAGAAAGGGGTGACACAGAGCCTTAGCCCAATACCTTAGCCTGGTATTCAATCGGGACACTGTGATTGTATTGGCTTAACATGTTGAAAATCTAAAATAAAAGAGCTTTCGTTAAAGATGGGACTGATGATTAAGTTCGAACTGGGCATAGCAAAGGAATATATCTGACTTGGAGGGAGAATATGTCGTTTTAAAAACTTCGCAACAAGATCGGCGATGGCCTGGTAGGAGTTTGCGGTAGTATTATTAAATGTAAATGAGGAAGGGTATAAATTGGGTTTATGATTAGTGTTTACAAAGTTATAAAACCGTTTTGGGTTCTGCAAAAACTAAAAACTACAACGCGTCAATTAATCTGTATAACACTGAGCGGTAAGCACGGTCAAATTCGACCGAGCGCTTAGATAACTATAGAGAACAGTGTGGGAACCGGTGAGTTTATGTTTATTTTAAGTCTGGACCTAGGCGTGTTAGCTCTTTGTTGAACCAAGGCGGTTTATTAAAGACCAACGGATGGGTTACCGGTACACTTAACGAAAAGAAGGAGTTCATGGCACTGTAAAAAATGTCCACTGCTATGTCCGAGCACACCTATAGATCGATATTCGGATATTTATGTACATAGCTTTTAGTATTCAGCCTTTCGAAAACAGCGGACTTTCTCAGCTTTTCGATAAGGTTTATTTCCTATAATATTCACTTCTATAATAGTCACTTCGAAAGTTGGATAGGATAATAATAAGATAAGATAAGATGGTAAGTATCTTTAAGTTGCGTCAATAGAGGAAGTCTAATGGGGTTTACGCCTACAGGATAAGAGACACGGCGCAGATCAAGTAAGCGGTTTAATAAATTATACACGTGGTTAACTTGAGACAAGGCTAAATCAAGGAAGCCATCTATGAGGTCATGTTGTGCCGCAGTCTAAAGGACATTTGACTCACCATCAGAAGACCAACGAGCTCTAGGTATATAAAAGCCCCCAGAGCCAATAATTGGTTTCTATCTGAAAGCCGTTTGGAAAGGGCCCGAATCGTCGAAATGTGTTTCCATTAATTTTGCTCTTCACACGATGTAGGAGTATAACCAGAAAATTATAGTTTCACACTGAAAAATTCCATAATCGTAAAATCTTCAGAACCCAACAGTTCCGAGACAAAGCAGGAGTCAGTGTCAATTAAAACTTTGTGCTTACCAGGAAGAAATTCCGAGCAGAGGATCTACGGCTTTAACCAGGTTTCAGTAAACACAATTAAGTGGGATGCAAAAGAGAAGCTATCAGAATACAGCTACAGTACAACGGTGGATACTGTAGCTTGTGCCGGCCTTGGTAGTTGTACTCACATAAGCCGTGTTTTCTTTTTTTTTTAGCCACGTACTCCTTATCTACTACGTTCTCGGGCCAGAAGTCACTTGAGCAAATAGTGTAAAAAACTTTGAAGGAGACTCTAATCTTAAAAAATGAAATGTCTCTGGCATATCGACTTGGGGTTTGACTTATATATAGGCTAGAACACCTTCCCATGCGAGATCTGGGCCAAGCCTCGAAACTACGCGCTGTGCGGCAATGTTCTTTATGAACAATTCTATCAGCGTTATGTTCAGGATATCAATTAGAATAGCCGTAGGACATGGGCACATTGCTTTGCGCACGCTGCTCGTTGTATCCTCGTAAGATTTGTTATGTTAGTGCCACCCACCATACTAGGGCCCCGTATGTTAACATAGGCGTTTCACCGCTGGGTTGAGCCATATAATAATCTTTGGGTGTAGCCCACAATTGTCTCAAAGCAGGATTAGAATGCAATGGTTTCATAGCGTGAGTTGAAGGACTTTCAGAATCTCATCCGGAGATCGCTCAGTTCTTATACCACCATGGTGGGTACTCCTTCTTCGAGAATGGAACGTTCCATGTCTCTGGGAAAGCGAAATTCAGAATGTTCGTAAGGTCCTCCACATCCTTGTCGAGTGCCTTTGAGGAGATTTATATCTTAATGCTGCTGTTGCTAACTAAATATGGGACAATTTCGCAGAATTTGTCCAGTTCACTGCTTTGATTTCCCCGTTACATTCTGTCACTAACATTAAAATCGAGTCGTGCAGCGCCACAGTACTTAGCCTTTGGAATTTTAATGATTATTGCAATATTAATACAGAGGGAACTCGTAATCTAGATTGGATTTCAGTTTCACTCGGCTCCTCTAAACATTTTCTTATTCTGTTGACGAACAGTTTTTGCAGTTCTTGCAGTTATTGCCGAGAAATCTACATTAGTTAAATTGACATCGGAACAGGTTTGATAGACTCAAATAAGGTCAAATCAAATAAAATTTGAAAAGTAGCCTTCAATTTGAATAATGACATGAACCTTGTCTTTGTGAGCATAGTAACATCATGAATTTAATTAATGGTAAAGACTCTACCTGATGGATGCCTTTCAATCCTTCTTATGGTTGATGAAATTTTTGGTCTCGCCCGGGCAACAATGTAAGGAGAAGCGCTCCAATTTAACAATGCACTTCCGGTGGTC